GTATCTCCGCTAAAATAAGGTGCAGTGATGATGGATTGCAGATACTTTCAATGGCTGATCTTGAGTCACTTAAAATATTAGCTTTAGGATACTTAGCAGATTCAGAAATAAACTGTACAGCTTTTAATATTGCAATCAATTCTGCCTGATACACACTGCAGTAGTTCTCAAGGCGAGAGGTGATTCTTTTAATTTCTTTATCACCCATCCAGACAGTTACTGCAAAGCCTACTTTGTTTTCAATTTTGCTACCATCTGTGTATATTTTTGGCCAGTCGTTGTCTATAGTGGCTACGTCCTCTATTTTATTTATGAGCCTATATGTTCTTTCTTTTCTTTCAGCTGGGTGAGGTAGTTGGAAAGGATTTATCCTATGTTCCATTGTCCGTCCGGGTAGGGCAGCAATCAGTTTTCCTCTTTTGATTTCATAAATTTCAGCATTTTCTTTTACTCTTAGAGCAAGCGGTATTATTCTGGCGAGAAGGGTACTTGAAATCAGTGAGTTTGTTTTATGGCTTTTGCTGATGCGTATTCCAAAAAGACGAGTTAATCTGTTGAGTTTTGTTTGAATTAATTTTTTTTTCGTCGATTCTACCCAGCAGCTTGCAGCATATAGTATGGTAGGTTCTACTACAGCTAAATATATAGTTCTTACTATTTCAGAATTGAGCCCCCATTGCGCTCTAGCAACTCTTGAAACCATTTTGTAGATGTTGACTGCCTTTTTGGCTGATATTATCTAGATGCTGTTTGAAGTTTATGTTTTTGTCTATTGTGAGACCTAATATTTTAAGATAGTTTGAATATTTAAGCTTAGAAGGTATAGTTCTAGAAAAAGTTGAGGACGATAATATTTTTTTTTTGTGATAATCATAGCCTGCGTTTTGTGCGCCGCAAACTTCATTTTATGTTTCTTTCCCCCATAATCCTATTTTACTTAAGGTCTCGTTTATATCTCTTTCTAGTTGTTGGCCAGTCTTTGCTATTCCTATTATTACAATATCATCCGCGAATGCTTGAACATGTGCTCTTGAGTTTTTCGTATCTTGTAATAGCGAGTCTAATAGTATGTTCCATAAGATAGGGCCACATGTGGATCCATGGATGCATCCTTTGTTTGTTTCTTTTGTTACTTCTTCTCCTAAATATCTAAGTTTTATTTTTCTTCCTGTTAAATAACTTGTTATAAGCCTTAATACAGATTGGTCTAACTCCTTGTAAGATAGTTGATTTATTATTGCTGGCCACCACGCGCTGTCAAACGCACCTTCTATATCTAGGGAGACTAATGCGACAATGCGCTTTTCAGATATACCTTTTTTTATGATGGCTAGCATATCGTATAGCGCGTCTTCTGTACTTCGCTGTGGTGTAAAGCCGTATTGTCTTTTGCTCATTTTCCCCTCGTGCCCCAACTGCCATTGAAGTCTATTCACAAACAATTTTTCTAGTATCTTACCAAGTATTGGTAGTAGTCCTATCGGTCTATATAACTTAGGTAGAGTATAGTCTTCTTTATTTGGTTTGGGTATGACCTTAATCGTTGCAGTTTTCCATCTTGTTGGAAAGTGCCCAATATTGAGACATTGGTTGAAAAGCGCTATGAGTATTTCTGGGTTTGACTTAAAAGCTATTTGACAGATATCTAATGTGAGTCCATCATCTCCGGGAGCTTTCTTTGGACTCATATTTTTAAAGACGTATTCAATTTCGTATGCTGTAAAAGGTTGTTTAATATCAATTATGCTATTTTTCAATTTTATTGTTATTTGTTTAGCTGTATTTCTTAATTCAGTTTGTTCTTCTGTATCTGTGTCTATGAAGTCATTTGGATAAAATGTTTCGGCAAGTAATTCTGCAGATTTTCTTTCTGTAAGGATAGTTCCATCTATGTCTCTTAGTAATTTATCTTCTTCTCTTTTTGTGCAGTTCTTTATAATTCTGTATGTTCTTTCCCACAGGTTTTCTTTTTTCTTGTTTAGTGCATAGAGTCTTCCAACTTTTTTTGCTGCTTCTTCAATCATACTTTTATATTTTTCCTTGGCTTCTTGATATTGCTCAATGACGTACTGCCGCCTTTTCGGGTTAGCGTTTCGTATTCTTCTTCTTCTTCTTATCGTCTCTTTTTTCATTTCAGTTATTTCTTTGCTCCACCAGATTGCTGTTTTTGCTATTTGTTTTGGTTTTTTAGGTGGTATTGTTTTATTGCATGCGTCTATAATACTGTGTGTATAGCAATCGACTATTTCATTTAAGGTCTCTACTGATCCGATCTCCCTTATTATGTTAACTTTTATGTCTCGTCTATTTAATTCTTCTTTAACTACGTGAGTGAATTTTTTCCAATCTGCCTTTGCGGTATTGTATTTTCTGGTACCCTTGTTAATTTGTTCCGTATTTGTGTTTTGTAAATGGATTTCAAAAGTCACAGGTCTATGGCTTGAGAGGGTACAAAGATGTTCATTAACTGTCCAGTTTTTAATTTTATGGAGTAATGTAGTGGAACATGCAGTTATATCTATAATGCTAGAACACTCTTTCCCTCTCCTATATACACTAAAAGTTGGTTTTGTGCCTGTATTTAGAATCTCCAAACTTAATTCAGAAAATGCCTCCATTATGGTATTTCCTCTCCTATTTTCTGCCTTACAGCCCCACCAGATACTGCTGGCATTTGCGTCTCCTCCTAATATATATTCATCTGCGTCCACTGTTGCCACTAACCTCTTGATTGTTGCGACATCTTCTTCAATATTTGTCTTCTCATGTAGATACATGCTTATTATTCCTACTTTAGTCTGACCTAGTCTAATTGTTACTCCTACAATATCTTCACTTATTAAATTAGGATTAACAAAAAAGTTTACATTCTGATCCGTGATGACAATTGCCGATCTGATTGGTTTAGACATTTCGTTACAATTTTTTTGTATCACTCGAAATTGAGAGCCTACTGAAACGTAGTTCTTATTTCCAATGTAGGGCTCTTACATCAATATTATAATATAACCAAGGGTCGATGCCATGCGCAAACACTCTTGTGTTGCTGCACGTCCTCGATCCAAATTGTATTGGATTACTTTTATGGGATTAAAGTGCTTAGCTGTATTTTGTACTTGCTTGCCTTTTACTTAGCAGCTGTAGGTGACCGATGCCCTAGCTATTTTGTCCCACTTAGACCATTCAGGACATTCATGGCTATAGGCTGGATGTGGTGAAGTTGTTTTTTGCGAGTCGGTTATGGAACAGTTACAGCATTTTGGTGCCTGATTTATATTCCTGCATTCCCTCGTGTCGTGTGTTTCAGAACAATAGCCACAACGTTGCTCGTTCTTACAGTCTTTAGCCATGTGGTTAAACCCAAGACATCTGTAGCATTGTGTTACTGGCGACTGATCCACGCATAACACTACTTGATATCCTAGTCTTAGTTTCTGTCCTTTCAGTTTCGCCCACATTTGGGGGGTGGTCTCAATTATTACATTAGTCAACTCCCTTATTCGGCCTTTTGTTCTGCGTAGAACTTTTATGGTCTTTTGTTCATCTTCCAAGTCTGATAATAGCTTGACATTTTGATTGACGACTGCTTTTATTAACTTTGTATCGTCTAGATCTGTCGCTACTCATATTAAACGTAACTGTGGATTCTTTGCAGGGAGGGTTGATACTGTTAGTTTTTTGCAGGTTTCCCTGATGGCTGTTTTTAAGATAGTTCTATCTTTAGGGCAATCGCAGTTAATTATTACTTTTTGATTTTTGATTTTTGTTATTTTGTTATTTTGTTTACTCTTACTCCTAATTCTACTATATCGACGTCTTGTTTGACTTGAGTAATAATATCGTGGCAAGAGTTACGTGGATCTATGGACTCTAACATAACTGCATATTTTGGTTGTGTAACTGCCTCGGAGTATGATCGTATTCGTGTCGCCTTATTTTCTGGTGTTGGGTCATAGTGATCGTGGTCAATTCTATCGACAGTTTTATTTTCTAGGGCTTGTGTATCAGTAATTTGTCGATTATACACGTCATTAATTTTGTCTCTTATTTCAGCGAGTGCCAGCTCTGTACCTATTCCAGAATTTCCTTGAGATATCATTTGTGCAGTTACGCATTCTTTTAAATCCTCTATTTGGTTATTTGATTTATCTATAACTCCTGTTAATGGGACAATTATCTTCCGAAGCTCATCTTTCTGCTCTTCCATGGGTATTGTGTTAACCTGTACTTTTGTTGATAGTTTTTCGACCATTTCCTTTGTTTGGTTTATATTTTCAGCAAAACCATCCATACGAAACATTAGTTTGGTGGTTTGTTCTTTGATTGGTGATAATTTCTGATTGATAGTTACTGGCCTGGTTTCTAGGATTTCTATTTTATTTACCAAGTTCTGAATTTCTTTTGTTATTTCTTTGATTTGTTTAGACAATAACATTAACATCTCTGTTGCAACTATTGGTTGCTCATGAGGGGGTTCGAAGGATGCTTTTGATGGGATAATTGTTGTTGCTAATCCTCGCAGCTCAAGTTGGATGTTTTGTATGGACTTAATTGGCTCATCCATTTCGTAGTTGAGCCAGCTGCGTATTGCTTCAGCGGATTTAAATGTTTCCCGAATGCTGTCATGAGCTTCCTTCAGCTTCTGATAAAACGTAGACTGTATTTCCGTTATTTGCTTGCTGTGAGCTCGTTCTACTCTAACTAATTCCTTTGCAGCACGACAACGTTCTTCCTCTAGCGCGAGACGATGACGTGAACGAGAATAATATTGTGCTTAGTAAGACGCTCGTTGACATAAATGGTGCGAGCTATTCCCGTCAGTCCCAAACCTTCAGTGGTGATATTGCATCGTACTCATGCCGCCTGTATTAGAGCATCATCTTCAGTTCCGCGTGGCCGCGGAACTGAAGTGCCCTCGCCATTATCACGTATAAAACCTGTACGCTCTGAAGACACCACATCGCACTCATCCAGGTCCACGCATAATTTCTTGGCAATAGTCAAGATAATATGTGTGGTATTTTCACCACTCGTTTCAGGAATGCCGCTATCTGGATATCATTAGCGAGTAAGTCTTGGTCACGTTCCAATATTTGTGACTTCAACTGTGACACTGTCTCTTCCATAGTCGAAAATTCACAGCGTTGTAAGCCTTTTGACTTGTCTTCTAAGGCTGATATTCTGGTTTCGATGGAGTCAATGCGGCTGCTTTGCATCTTAATGGCAGTCATAAGATCTGTCATAGAATTACGGAACAAGCGCATCTCAGCACGGATTGCCTTCATTTCACCAAGAAGCAGTTTGAAGTCCATAGCTGTATCATCGAGCGATTCTGGCATAATATTCTCCATGATGATGCTGTCCTCTTCATGAATGTTCTTGTATTGAGTATTTTTTGTAGGTGGTTTGCCGTGGACTGCCACATTCGAGTTCTCTGGTGAGACAACCAAAGTCGGGGGGACTAGAAATTTCAGTCTCAGCAGTACGCACTGGTGTATTCAAATTATTCGTTCGCGGGAGTTTGCTCACACATGAAAGGCATTTCCAATTATCTTTACGCTCCTTATTAAACGAATAAAAAGAATAAAAGCGTTTACTAGTTATATTTAGACATTCAATGTCATAAACTCCTTTACAATCACAACAATGTAGATATTCTCTTTTGGGTAAAGGTTTCGCACATGCAGCACAAGTCTCGGTTGGTGGCGACATCATTTCACACAATAGATTCAATATGACTAACAATCTAGGACTTATTTCAAAATTAAAATATTCCCAAATCAGATGAATGCGCGCGCCCTCTAATGGGTGACCGTAGACTTAATCTAACTGATCGATTAGCATAAGCTCATATCTATATTTCGCCAGTAATTAGTAGATGGCGTGATAATTCAAAAATAGTTATTCTCTTCAGGTAATCTATTATCACATAGATGTCGCTGATTTCAATTTGAATCAGATGTACGAGTCACATAAATTTAAACATTTCAAACTACCATAACCGTCACTTAAATACAAAATTTATGTTTTTTCACTTTAACACAAAAATAGAGTGTTGATAGCAATGTGAATTAGTTCGTTAGTACTGTACTTCACTTTAAAAAACACTGTCTTATTACAATAAATTCAATAATACAACAATTGATAGTTCACTAATTCACTGGATTACTTTCATAAACTTGGCACTGTTAATATAGCTCCAAACAGCGAGATAACACTCTATACACTAAATTACGTTAGAATTAATACTTAGATTATAAAAAAGTTACGTAAAAGTTGCTTATAATATTTTTAAAACAAAAATTATACGGAGCCCATGTTAACTGCTCAAATAGCGCCACCTGTCCTCTAGCGCCACCTGTCCTTATGTAGGGTCCTATCCAATAATGTAGGGGAATCTCTTACGCTGTCACCACACGTTAAGAAGTTTATTTATTATTATAAAACAGTTTATCGCAATTTAAAATGATATGTTATGCGGAATATGCTAATGTTTTTCTAAGTATAATGTTATATATACACGGTGCACGTTCCTGGTTGACGGACGAAACTCTGGCGAATGAATGATGGCGAAAATTTCATCCACCAAAATTTTATATACTTTTTCATAGAAGGAAGGGTTATTAAAGATCGAGAAATCAACTTAGTAGGAAAAGTGGATTATGTAGTTAATAGACATATATATGAGTTTAAATGTAAATGCATTGCAATCTCTGAAGATTATGACGAAGTTTTGGTCGCAGTAAAAAGGGTCTCAGCTCCTCGTCAATTGGCATTCTAAACATTGCACAACGTTATTTTTCTTATACAGACTGGTATTCTGTGTGAATGTGTCCTCCATTGCCATTATACAGCCATTGTACACCTGCATCGTGGCTCTACTAGATGGGAAAAATATTATCAAATCAGATATATCGGTTCTGTGCCACCAACTGGAATGGGTGAGTCCAGTTTGGTGAGTATGGCCAAATTTCGTAAGGCACGACTGGCGCATTCTTGTAAAGGCATCTCCAGTAGATGAATTAACAAGACTGTAGTTGTTCTTGTTGAGGGTGATGATGATGATTCCGTTACCGTTACCGCGTATTAAAATCGACTACTGAACATACGACTCCTAGGTTATTAGATTATATTATAAATTGCCTCATAGGGGCCGCATAGTCTTCCATAGTTGTCACTGTTGGCGAGCGGATTGGCAACCGCAGTCTTTATTTTCAGTCAATATTAGGAAGACGTTGATGCAATTCTCTTGATTTGTTTCCCGCTGTCGCTGTCTTATGACATTCACAGGATGATATGTGGTAGTGAATTGAGGATTCCAGGAAAAAATATATAACATGTAAAGGCCAAATCCACTACCGCCACCAGAATCTCTTCTTACTGCCAGAGACCGTTTTTACTATCGAAGAACCCTTGCATTATCGTCGGTGATTTTTACTAACTGAGACGCTTTCTAACCGGAGACGCTTGTACTGGAAACGAGACATTCCATCTTAGTCCTGAGTGCACCTGCATTTTAATTAAGGACAGGTTTCATGTGTCTATGGGTTTAAGCTTCCATTTACCATTCGATGGTATGTGTACCAATTTCTCACCCTTATTTTATAAAATAAATAATACATCAGTTACTTCCATGTAAACTAACATCTCAGCTATCAATACTTGTGACACAACAACGAATTTCCCCGAAGCGCAATCCACAACAAGCCGCGACGAAGAATAACCAAGTGAACGCAAAATGAATATTATCATACAAATTCCCGTTCTTATACGAACCGAGCACCGTTACTGTCACGGTGTATGCAAAAATATGGGAACGACTCCTTTGCCTTTCAAATGTTAACGCAAAGTAAGAAAATGTGTATTTGTTCGAGAGTATTTTTCTCGCTCATAATTTGCATTTGTTTCGTGAATAATGCTTGCAAATAATCCTGGCGTCTTTACGTGAACGCGTTTGTTGTCATAAAATAGAAAAATATTTCATTTTTTGTTCGTTTTGTAGTCAAAGGAAATAAAAAAAATATACCTTTTGTTTCAAATTTTATATTTAGGATAATTATTATGGCAATCTAAAATTAAAAATAAAAACAAACAAACAATCACAGAAGCACAAACCCAAACCAAACTATTTTTTTAGAGTATAGGGGTGATAAACGAGCACACAGTCCATCTGATGGTAATTGTAAAATGGTAACTATGGCCCAAAATGCAGATCTTTTCCAGTAATAAGAGTCCATTGTTTACTACACTCCCAAACGCAAAAGCAGGTTGGAGCTGCTGTGTTAAGCAGCTGAAAAAGAAGTATAATTCCGCCTCTAGGTCCTTCAAAAGAGTCATTGCCAAGGCAAAGTCAGAGCACATAGGCAGAATTGGCGAGAAACTAGTTCGCCCTCCTTCTGGAACCCGTGCATTCTGGTCTCTCGCCAAGGCTGTCCAGGGGAATTTCTGTCAGCTATCTCCTCCATCTCTGCACAGGGAGGACGACTCACTGGCCCATACTGCAAAGGAGAGAGCCGATCTTCTAGGCTTTTTCTTTGCGTCCAACTCGACTCTCATGACGGGGAGAGTACGCCGCCAACCATCCCGCGGTGTGAGTGCTCCATGCCGGAAGTGCAGTTCACACAGCGCTCGGTCCGCAAAGCACTCCTCTCCCTGGACATCCACAAGTCGAGGGGGCCTGACGGAATCCCCCCAATTGTGCTGAGGACGTGTGCTCCAGAGTTGGCACCATTTTTAACGCGTCTTTTCCGGTACTCCTACTCCCTAGGCGTAGTCTCACAATCATGGAAGACGGCTTTTGTCCACCCGATACCTAAAAAAGGCGACCGCTCAGACCCGTCCAACTACCGGCCTATCGCCATCACCTCCTTGATCTCCAAAACAATGGAGTCCATTTTAAACTGCCAGCTCATGAGGTACCTTGAGGATCACCAGCTGATTAGTGACCGCCAATACTGCTTTCGCCGTGGTCGATCAGCTCGTGATCTTCGGGTCTACTTAACTCACAGATAGAGGCAGTAATGTGAAGTTGCGGTGTGAGAGTATCCGCCATCCAGATCGTCTCGTGGGTGTCGTAAGAAGAGACAGAGGAACCGAAACACGAGATGGGCAGAAGAATCTTCCTGATAACAATTGAAACTGCGGTGTACATCTCGCCTGCCAACTGTGGCAACTATCATTTGCGTGTAATAACATTGTTAGTGACTTAGATGAATTATTCATGCAACAATTATCTATTGCAAGTGCATTTCGTTTAAAATCTTACAAGTATTTTCATAGACATGCAATCAATCAATATGTACGATCACAAATTTTCAAGACAATGTGTATCGGGCTAGGAATCTGTATAGGGTTGTAGATCTCTATGAGCTGGGAGAAAATTATTTAAAACTTTCGGTTTCAAAAACGTGATCTATTAGTACTTTATTTAAATAATTTTAATAAATGGGTATTAAAACTAGCGATCCCCTCGGTTTCGTACAGGTGATTTATGGATCTCGACAACAGTGCCTACCGCGTTCGGTTGTGAATATAAACCATTCTCGAATCAACTTATATAATCACACACACAATTACGTCAAAAGCCCTTTTAGAAGGACTTTAGTCACATACACACGGTCAGAAGAATTTTATATATAAAGATAACGTATAAGTCTATAACGTATCACTATTAAAAATAAGCCTACCACAATTTCCTAAAGGAAGAAGAAAGGATAAGGTAGAGTCCGCCGCACTGCGACGGACTTTACCTTTTAGCGGATTTCAATTTCTCCAAAATATTACTAAAGTCTCGTTACGTGCTCGTACCTTCAAGTGCGTGGTAAATGTTTTATTTAATCATAAACTATATCTCAACCTCTGATTATTTTATGACATATTCGGAATAATTAACCGTTATAAATCAGAGGCTAAACCAACTTTGTAAGCTCTTACAAGACAAAATGGGGGCGGGGAGATGAATGTTCATACGATGTTATATTTAAAGGTTACATAAGATACGTGAACGATATTGTTAACTGTAAACACTTCAGAGAAAACCGGAACACGTGTTACACAACGAGATGATAACTTTGTCAGACAAACATTGTTATGTAAGGTAACAGTGTAAGTTTACGTCAGTTATTTTCACATGATACCGTTGCTGTATTTTTTGATTATGAGTTGGGTAACGTATAATTCTTTTTAATGTTTTAATCAAATTTCATGAATTTATTCATTCTTTATTCATGGACGACTGTGTGACAGACATGTGACGTATGAATAACGATAATAATAAATACTTAGTTATTTGATTTAAACACGCATTACACAGTTTTAATTAGAGACTAAAAATATACTGGCGTAGTAGTAT